TCTAAGCTACAAAACGCAACATTTGATCTTTTATAGTCACGCAGGTTTTTGGATATGTTGGGAGGTTTCGGTTGAATTTTCTTGAATTTTCTTTGAACGTATATTTCACGATATCACACAAAGTAGCATGGAAGGCGATACAGTAACGCGGTGATAATTGTAACTTGAAGAACGGGTGCAGTGATTCAAAGGACGCATGCGCATGTGCGTTTCGCATTACCGTTGCCATTGGTGCTTTAGGATGATTGGTTGATGTTGTGGCTGGCCGATGGTAGGATGACACGTCATCGCTCGCTTACGATTGGATCAGCGTGTAGATCGGCTGTGGTGGAAGCGCTTGTGGTAGCGTCATTGGCACCGCGCCAGGCATAAATTGCGCGTCAATTGGCATCTAAATGGGGTGCTTCAACTGAATTTTATTTAAAAATCGATAAAATCAATGGTTCTACCTTTTGCAAAAATTGCGGATCGATGGCGACCACCGGCGGATCGGATGGTGTTCGTGATCTTATCGTTACCACCGCCTCACCGGGAATGTTACCCTGAGCGACGCGAGTGAACATCACCTGAATAATCGATTTCAATCGGTAATCAATCTATACTGGTCAGGCAACTCACGTTCTCTACGACAACGTCGGGAGTTTGAAAGTGGGCTATAATATCCGGTAGGCCAACATTTGGGCCGATACCGTAAACCACTAGCTGATTTACCTAAATTACCGTAATCAAGTAAATTGCAACTGAGATATATCGAGTAGCAACTTACCTGTCCAGGTATAACCATATTTGGTGATACTGGTGGTGATGGATACGGCCAAAACATTGGCGCTGACATTGGCACTAGAGCTAAAATAACAGAATTTTGAACAAAGGATCTGTAAGGTTACGGTAGTTGCACTGTACGATACAACATACTTGGCACAAAAGCTGGTCTCTGTGGAAGCATGAGTGGCGGTGGTGGTGGTACGGGTGCTGGTGCTGTTGGGGCCATAACCAAATGCATGTCATCGGGAGAACATTGGAAGACCTACAAAGGAGGAAATTTGACCAATAATCAATGTATTGATTAACTGTTCTTATTTGAGCTCGCTTTGCTTCTCCCTTAAGCCTATTTGGTTGCCTCTATCAGATATAGCTCTCATAATACTTGTTAATTCGCTTGTGCAATTAATAAGAATACAAAACAATCATCGACATTGATGGAGCTTTGGCCGAGGAGGTGGGAGGATTCGTATTTGTTCAAGTCCCTTTTTGTCGTACAAGCGCTTCCATCAAATGTCATTTATTTCGCGTCAAAAGCAAATATTTTCAAGCCCTCGATCACATGTTCTTGTACTACAATGTCCGTAAGGACGTACCGCAGTTAATTAGAGTGTAATAAAGGGAGATTAGTTGTTTTCTCTTCTGAGCTTCTGCTATCCTCATAGATTTTCCGAATAATAATAAATATTCATCCAGACCTTTGTCAAAGTACAACCCACTGTCATTCTTACAATTTCAATGATTGCTGCCGGATTACGGTATAAAAGTGCAATGTTTACGGGAGTTACAGTATTTGCTCACCTCAATATACCTTTGCTTCTTCCCAATGACCATAAATTTGTTATGAGCAGCAGCAGCGGCACCTGCAGCTGCTTGCTCACTGTTCATTTGGATGAACGCTTCACCGGATGGATGTCCTAAAATTGGATGGATTGGTTAGAGACGCAGAGGAACACATGGCCAGAA